GATCATAGATAATAAAGAAGGTACGTAAATACTGAATATGAATAATATGTATAGGTAGTAGGTGCATGTACCAACAAGTAGCTTGGGGTTATTTGTATGTACACGCTGGCGTTATCCATAAAAGTTTTTTTTTTTTTAGCATATGGCTCCGGCAAGCACAAAATAATAAATAGGTAAAATATATAAATTACAATAGTATAAACTAGAATAATAGTCATAGAACAAATTAAAAGGCTTAGTACTAATTAAATTATATAGTTATAAAAAAGTCAAAAGAAAGCAGTTAAAATTAAGAAGTGACGGGTTTATAATCGAATAATTTTAAACGATCGTTGAGTGGGCGATTTTAAATTATTTTAAACTTTAAATTAAATAAAAGATACTATGCTCATTTATCCGAAATCGTACAGAGGATGAGTCGCTCTGGGATCATCAGTGATCATAGATCATTTCAATATAAACTTGTATTTATTKTTTCAACAAGGATTTATGAATAGAGATAGTTCTGAAATTGAAAAATATTTAACTTGAAAATTTTCACTTTCTTTGAAATATTCATTATTGTTTATATTATTCAATAAATATGGTTTTATATGATAAAGATTGATTATTTACATACAATTTTCATATGTTTCATTGAATTGTATAACCCTATATAGTATATTTATAATAGATGTATCACTATATTCATATTAACTTATATATTTTATTTCACAATCAAATCGTCGTTACATATATGCATAGACGTGTGTACGGGGAAGGAGGCGGTAGGTCGCAGCTCTTACAACGGCATCCGGCTTTTTCTTTAATAAATRCATGAACATCTGATATCTTTATTATACTAGATTATTATTATATTTTTGCATGTTATTGAATTAAATGAATACTTTTTTTATAATTTAAAATTTAATATTTGACTGTGTACTATAGTAGTACTCAAATCTTATTGATTTCTTACTGATTCAGACCTTTTTAATGCGCCCCCCCCCCCTCTGCGGACAAAGTCTGAGCATACCTATACGTATAGGTGCATATACACTTAAACATAAATATTTTTATTTTTTTGTTTAACATGAGTTTGCACACCTATTTTTAACAATGCTTGTGATGGAGACGAATATTATACCT